TTTAGAAAATAACACACACACTGACACACAATACAAATAAGCATACAGAGTATATTATAAAATTCTCTAATAGTAGTTCACCAATGCACTATTCACCTTAAGATTTAATGAATGATAAAGATCTCTGAACCTGCAAATATAATACTGAATGCAAAATCCTCAAGTGTGGAATATCAGCACTTACCTCTTCCTTGGCAATAGTCATATCATCTGTCACATTGGAGAAGACGGTAGGTTGGATGAAGTAGCCCTTGTTGCCGAGACGTGAACCACCGCATTCCAGCGTTGCCCCTTCAGATTTACCCTTTTCTATATAACCCAGTATTCGTTCCATCTGTGTCTGGCTCACCTGAAATACAAGAAACCGACTAAGATTACTAGTCTCCAATACTCTGTCACACTATTTAGTCACAAATTACATCATTACAGTAATACCCCCATATCAAGGACCTGCCCCAGATACCGAAACCACAGATAGCAGCAAACCGTATATATAAGTCCTATACATACCTATTTTTTTTTTTTTTTTTTTTTTTTTTTTTTTTCAACAAGTCGGCCGTCTCCCACCGAGGCAGGGTGACCCAAAAAAGAAAGAAAATCCCCAAAAAGAAAATACTTTCATCATCATTCAACACTTTCACCACACTCGCACATTATCACTGTTTTTGCAGAGGTGCTCAGAATACAACAGTCTAGAAGCATACACATATAAAGATACACAACATATCCCTCCAAACTGCCAATATCCCAAACCCCTCCTTTAAAGTGCAGGCATTGTACTTCCCCATTTCCAGGACTCAAGTCCGACTATATGAAAATAACCGGTTTCCCTGAATCCCTTCACTAAATATTACCCTGCTCACACTCCAACAGATCGTCAGGTCCCAAGTACCATTCGTCTCCATTCACTCCTATCTAACACGCTCACGCACGCTTGCTGGAAGTCCAAGCCCCTTACCCACAAAACCTCCTTTAACCCCCTCTCTCCAACCCTTTCGAGGACGACCCCTACCCCGCCTTCCTTCCCCTATAGATTTATATGCTTTCCCCTGTCATTCTACTTTGATCCATTCTCTCTAAATGACCAAACCACCTCAACAACCCCTCTTCTGCCCTCTGACTAATACTTTTATTAACTCCACACCTTCTCCTAATTTCCACACTCCGAATTTTCTGCATAATATTTACACCACACATTGCCCTTAAACAGGACATCTCCACTGCCTCCAACCGTCTCCTCGCTGCTGCATTTACCACCCAAGCTTCACACCCATATAAGAGTGTTGGTACTACTATACTTTCATACATTCCCTTCTTTGCCTCCATAGATAACGTTTTTTGACTCCACATATACCTCAACGCACCACTCACCTTTTTTCCCTCATCAATTCTATGATTAACCTCATCCTTCATAAATCCATTCCGCCGACACGTCAACTCCCAAGTATCTGAAAACATTCACTTCTTCCATACTCCTCCTCCCCAATTTGATATCCAATTTTTCTTTATCTAAATCATTTGACACCCTCATCACCTTACTCTTTTCTATGTTCACTTTCAACTTTCTACCTTTACACACATTCCCAAACTCATCCACTAACCTTTGCAATTTTTCTTTAGAATCTCCCATAAGCACAGTATCATCAGCAAAAAGTAACTGTGTCAATTCCCATTTTGAATTTGATTTCCCCATAATTTAATTCCCACCCCTCTCCCAAACACCCTAGCATTTACTTCCTTAACTACCCCATCTATAAAATAATTAAACAACCATGGTGACATTACACATCCCTGTCTAAGACCTACTTTTACCGGGAAATAGTCTCCCTCTCTTCTACACACCCTAACCTGAGCCTCACTATCTTCATAAAACTCTTTACAGCATTTAATAATTACACCTATTCCATATACTTGCAACATCTGCCACATTGCTCCTCTATCCACTCTATCATATGCCTTTTCTAAATCCATAAATGCAATAAAAACTTCCCTACCTTTATCTAAATACTGTTCACATAATGCTCAATGTAAACACTTGATCTACACATCCCCACCCCCTCTGAAACCTCCTTGCTCATCCGCAAACCTACATTTTGTCTTACCTCTAATTCTTTCAATTATAACCCTACCTACACTTTTTCCCGGGTAAACTCAGTAAGTTTATTCCTTTTAAAATTTTTTACAGTCTCTTTTGCCCCCTTTCCCTTTATATAAAGGGACTAACATGCCCTCCCCCAACCCTAGGTACCCCCCCTCTTTCTACATTTAGAACAAAATACCAACCACTCCAACACTATATCCCCCCCCCTGCTTTTAACATTTCTGTCATGTCCCTCATCCCCGCTGCTTTCCCCCCTTTCATTTTCTAATCCTAGTAACCTCCCCACATTACATTCTCCTCTTTTCCCCCAAAAATTTGGAACCCCCCCCCCTACCACATAAATTACCTCTTTTCCCCCAACTTTTCCCCCCCCCCCCCCCCCCCCCTACTAACCCCCCTACTCTGTTTTTAACTGACAAATCCATTTTTTCCCCTTTGCTTTCTTAACTTTTTTTAACTACCCCAAAATTTTTTTCTTTTTTTCATTAAAATTTCTTGCTGGCCTCCCCACTCTTCTCTGCTCCCTTTTGCACTCTCTCCCCACTCTCTTTCCCTTTCTTTTACTCTCCATATTTTTGCCTTCTTATAACATTTGCTTTGTAAAAAACCTCTCTAAGCTCCCTTTTTTTCTCTTTTTCAACCCTTTCTTCATCATTCCACCAACACCCTTTTTCCTCCTGCACCCACCCCCCTAAACCAAAAACTTCTGCCCCCATTCAAACTGATTTTTAAAAAACTTTTCCCAAACCCCTCTTCAACCCCCCATTACCATCTTTGCACTACCCACCTTTCTGCCAATAGCGTTTTTATCTCGCCCGAACTTCCTCCTCCCCTTTGTTTTAACTTTTACCTCCCTCTTTTCTTTTGTTGCCACCTTCCTCTTTTTCCCATCTACCTCTTTCTAACTGTAGCACAACTAAAAAATGATCCGATATATCATTCCCTCTAAACATGTACATCCTGGGGCCCACCCATCAACCTTTTTTCCACCAATACATAATCTAATAAACTACTTTCATTACGTGCTACTCATACCTTGTATTTATTTATCCTCTTTTTCATAAAATATGTATTACTTATTACCAAATTTCTTTCTACACATAGCTCAATTAAAGGCTCCCCATTTACATTTACCCCTGGCACCCCCAAATTTACCTACTACTTCCCTCCATAACATTTTTACCCACTTTAGCATTGAAATCCCCAACCACCATTACTCTCACACTTGATTCAAAACCCCCACGCATTCACTCAACTTTCCAAAAATCTCTCTCTCTCCTCTACACTTCTCTCTTCTCCAGGTGCATACACGCTTATTATACCCACTTTACACATCCAATCTTTATTTTCCCTCCACATAATCCTTGAATTAATACATTTATAGTCCTCTTTTCCTGCCATAGCTTATCCTTCAACATTATTGCAAACTCTTTCTTTAGCTCTAACTCTATTTGAAACCCCTGACCTAATCCCATTTATTCCTCTCCATTGAAACTCCCCACCCCCTTCAGCTTTGTTTCACTAAACCCAGGACATCCAGCTTCTTTTCATTCATAACATCCACAATCATCTCTTTCTTATCATCTGCACAACATCCACGCACATTCAGACTTCCCACTTTGACAATTTCTCTTCTTATTCTTTTTAGTAATCTTTACAGGAAAAGGGGGTTACTAGCCCATTGTTCCCGGCATTTTAGTTGACTTTTACAACACGCATGGCTTACGGAGGAAAGATTCTTATTCCACTTCCCCATGGATATAAAAGGAAAATTAATAAGACCAAGAACTATTAAGATAAAATCAAAGAAAACTCAGATGAGTGTGTATGAATAAATGTGTATATGTATGTGTAGTGTGACCTAAGTGTAAGTAGAAGTAGCAAGACATGCCTGTAATCTTGCATATTTATGAGACAGACAAAAGACATCAGCAATCCTACCATCATGTAAAACAATTACAGGCTTTCGTTTTACACTCACTTGGCAGGACGGTAGTACCTCCCTGGGTGGTTGCTGTCTACCAACCTACTAAGTGGAGAAGTATCAGTTTTTCACTGATGGGAAGCACTTCACTGCAACAACACATGCGACTCGTCACCAAAATTATTACGTATACACAGAAGAACTAATGCAACGTACTCATCATTCTAACCCTGTCATTTCTTTTAAACATCTGACTATCATCATTATGGGAAATATTTGACAATGTTAAACACTGCCGTCAGTCTAGCAACACAATGGTTATACTTGTGTAATAATCTAGACTGCTTTCTTCCTGTCAAGCTTTATTCATCTTGTGATAAATTTAGAAAACAATGGGGTTTTATCACCCTCATGACTTACATCATATTTCACTGAGAGTAAAACAAAAAATTTAGCTGTAAAACTAAACAGTCACACACACATTCAAAACTTCTTCCCCAAGCTCTTCAAATTCACTCATCTTATATATTTCCACTCGAATATTTTTCTATGTCATCACAATGCTTGCTGGTCTACCAACTGCTTCTGTTTCTTAATTACAATTGTAATTAATGAATGCATAATTTTTAACTATAGATAATGAAAACATTTTATACATAAATTATGTATAAATCTTAAAATACAGCCCAGATACAGTACTGTATAGAGTACCTGAGGGCCCTGAAGTGTCTTTTCATCAAAGGGATCACCAACGACACGCTCTTGAGCCAGTCGCACGGATCTCTTCACGAAGTCTTCGCAGATGGACTCGTGCACAAAAGTTCTGGAGCCAGCGCAGCAGTTTTGTCCATGGTT